TAAAAAGGATCCAAGTCACAATTTGTCGTGAAGTGACTGTTTTAGCTCAAAACATTTGTTAACGAGGATTTTACTAGCCACATACAAATTATTTTACCTCTAATCCGAAAGATGTGCTATTTTTCGTAATATTTATATTTAAATAATTTTTTTAATTATATTTGACAGATTTAAAACAAATTAAAAATTTAATTTCCCAAAACTTACTTAACATGGCATGTAACCAACCTTATTACGTCAAGGTTTTCAATTTTTTCAATAATAAAAAAATTGCTTAATCCGGGCCCGACTTTTCCCTTTAATCTAACAGAGATAGCACCATTCCGTCTTGCTTGGTTCTCGACCGCCAGATCAAAGACGCCGACACGGAGTTGTGGAGCTGTATTGTATAAGCTGTGCTACTACTTCCCAATGCTTAAAATTCTTCTTTTATCCAGTTTAAAAAATGTTTTCGATGTAAAATGGTGTACTGATTGGTCGCGAATGGCGCCAAATTCAAACATTATTGTTTTATTAATTTTAATGCATACGATTTACGGTATACCAGATTTTACATAAATATTTAGCAACTTCAAATTGTACAACATTTCTACCTTTTTTCAAAAGTGCGTACAACCACATAACTGATTGTACAACTTTTTGTACAATTGCACAACCAGGAACAACACTGTGTGGAATAATACCAACTGCCGAATATGTTTTAGTGAAAATAATAAATATCCCAGAATCCTGTCAAAACATTCGCAGGTACATGCATTGACATAAAAAAAACTATATTTTTTTGCGAATTTCGCTTTCGCAATTCGCATCTACATGAACTAGCCTTAACTAGGATTTTTTGACAGCGGTTCTTGAAAGATTTACGTCACTTTTGTAACAGATTGACATTCGACTTAATAGTTTCCGTAAAAATATAGCGGTTAGTGAATTGACGTTTGAGTCACCATTTTCAGGTAACCGCGTCCCTAATTTAACCGATTTTTTAGGAATGTCAGTTAGTTTTGGGCCGAGTAATCGATATTTCGGTTAATAACGGACCATACCCTTAAGAGCGATATCCATGGTTAGAAACTGGCTTAAAACGACTTCAAGGTTCTCTTTCTCAGTTTTAAATATTTTTTTATAAAATTTGGTATGCCTACTAAGCAAATGATAGAGAACCCCGCTGTAGAGCCCGAATTCAGAAAAACTTATTATTTAATTATTTCTATACAAATTATGAAAATTATTGCAAAAAGGAGTCTTTGCCGGGAATTGTTATACAAAAATCAACTAATTCTTTCCAATACACTTTTTTGTCTAAAGCGTATATTTTTTGAAAACCTTGAATTACGAAATCTGAGAAAATCTGTCGAGATTCGAATCCATATTAATTGATTTGGCAACAAAGCGGCGGACGTTGGCGGTGCATGCAGTACCGGAAAATTAGGATAAAAGTATTTATGTAGTCATTTAAGTCGCTTATAATGAAATTATTAAAAAACTATATTCTTTTTAGTTCAAGTGTAGGTGTTTTCGTTTCGTATTTAGTTAATGTGTTTATATGAACTTTTATGTGTAAGCTGAGTTATAATAATTTGTGGTAAAAATGGGAAAACTTTCGTAAATGCCGAAAATATTTCCGTTTAGACGGAAATCTATAATATCGTGCTAGATTACTTATAAAAAGACAAACACTAGCACCTCTTATTCCAGTCCACTTCAGTTCCTGCCCTTCTAAGCATAAAAGTCAAAATATATGGGAAATTAATATACTAAGTATTGAATAGAAAAAGAACTTTTAGCTTTAAAGCAATATTCACAAATTTAAGGCGGATGTCCAACAAATGTGGTTTATTTGTGGATGCTGAATATGGTTTTTTAGGTTCCGACGGTTTATTAGGAACCGACAGTATTATCGAAATTAAATATCTTGCCACTGCTTCAAAACTGACTCCGGAAAAAGCAATGGTTGACAACATAATAAAATTTGCAATTATTAATGATAATGGCAAAATGCAATAATTGTTCAGGGGCAACTTCACGTAACTAAACGAAATATTTGTTTTTTTATTATTTTGATACCTTTAAGTATGTTAGTAGAAAAAATAAAAACAGATGAAAGATTTTGGTGTATATGAAAAACAAACTAAAGCAATTTTATTTAGACTGTATACTACCCGAGATCTTAGATCCACGTTTCACTAGAGGTTTAAAAATTAGAAATCCGAGTAGAAATCCGACCAATAATCAATAAAAATTATTATTTTTATTTCTTCTTTAATAATAAATCATTTTACTCAATGTTATTTTTATATGTATATTTTTAGTACTAGAAAATATTTTTTTCTATACCCAAATGGATATTAGCGTATCTACGTACAGAATACAAAACGAAAAAATATGCTATTGCGTAAAATGAGTTATACTTGTGTAGAATCGATAAATTATAGCATTTCTAGTTTTATTTGATCTATATTTAGAAATAAATATTTATAAATTTTTAGGGGGGTGGGTGGCTCAGTGGTAGAGTCTCTGCCTGTGGATCCAAGGGTCCCAGGTTCGAATCCCACCGTTGGCCGGGATTTTTTCATTTAATTTAATTATTTAAAATTAATTCTGATGCCTTGGTAGCATTCCCCACTCGACCATTTACTGTTGGGTTCTAATTAACAGTGCTGTTTCTAAAGTGGCGCAGGGAAACAGTAACAAAGCCTACACAGAACACGAGGCTAATAACTTTAGCAGTTGATACCGATGACACCAAATTAAAAAAAAAATTATAAATTTTAATAAAATTATATGAAATCAATTTAATTTATATTCACTCTTGCTACACAAACTACTATTTTCTACATCCACATGGAAATGCTTTTTTCTATACTCACATGAATATTAGCTACTCTACGCACATACTACAAAACAAAAAAGTATGCCATTGCGTTCAACTGAACGAATAAATTTCATATCCATTCTACCTACTAAGAATACTGCAAAACAGTTAAATCCACCAATCAGATTATATTTTGGTCACCCGGCTACTATTATTTTTTAAATTTTACGTAACAATTCTGTCAAACTAACTGTCAGTATATTTTTGAATTATTGAGATAAAATGGCAAGTGTGACGATGGCGTGAGGACACGGAGTTTATCTCCAAGCGAGAGGCCCGAGTTCAAATCAGGGCTGGGGACTAATTAAATTAAATCTTTTTGTATTTTTATTTTATAAATTAGTAAAAGTCTTATATTATTTTAAAATTATTTATTTTGTCTTAATAAAATACTTTTTTAAATTTGTAGAATTTCGTTAGTGTGTCGTAGAAAAAATATACTATACAACTCGAGTGGATTGTCCATATCGCACTCAGACGATTAAGCACTCCGTCTACGGCGTCGTTCTTAAACTTCGTCTTCATGCAATATGGCCATCATATCCAATTTTGTTGCACAAACTACTATTCACGCACAGACTACAAAACGAAAAAATATATTATTGCGTTCAACTCAACGAATATATTTCATATCCATTCTAGGTAGTGAGAACACTGCAAAAAAATTAAATCCACCAATCACAGTTTATATATTGGACACCCAACTACTATTATTTTTAAAATTTTAAATAAGTGACAATTCTGTCAAACTAATTGTCAGTATATTTTTTAGGTATTGAAATTAAACATACATTAAAATGAGTTAATTTTTGTGTAGAATCCATAAATAATTTTAATTTATTTTTATTTGGACCACATTTTAAAAAATCTTAAATTTGAATCAAACTACCTATATGAAACTAATTTAATTTCTACTATTAGAACTAAAATTTTAAATGTGGAGGTGAAAATGAGGATACGGCATCTGTCTTTCAGGCTAGAGGCCCGAGTTCAAATCTGGGCTGGGGACTAATTAAATTAAATATTTTTTCATGTTTATTTTATTTCACAAATTTGTGAAGTCATAAATTATTTTAAAATTAGTTATTTTCTCTTTTCCTAAAATAAATTTGTAGATTTTCGTTAGTGGGTCGTAGAAAAAAATATACTGTACAACTCCAGTGGATTGTCCACTGTTGTTGCACAAACTAGTATCAAATGGATTATTATTTAAAAAACGTGTTTTTATACAGGGGATTTGGAAATAAGTACGGAAGATTTTTACAAATTGTTATCAAAGTTATTTTGTTAAAAAAAGTTCCTATAAAAGTAGGTCAAAACATACTTCGTTTCCGGGATACAGAATGTTTAAATTTTAATTTAATAAATTTTATTAATTATTTCAAATAGTTTTAAAGATATTTACTCTAAATTTGCAAAAAAAACTTTGAAGAGACAAATAAGTATTTTTTGGGGTGTTCCAAATATTTCTACTTGTACCAGTGGGTTTGTGCGAGAATGCCACTTTTTTAATAAAAAAAATACTGCGCCACTGACTTTTTCGATCTATATTTTTTTTTTATAAAATAACTTCGGCAAACATTCCCTAAAATCATTCACACTTACCAACAAACACCCTGTACATAAGAAAATGTAGAAATAGGTACTTTTTAGATATTTTTCCGAAATAATCATAGAAAATACATATGCATATTTAAAAATATATTTCGTAAATAAATTAATTAGTTAGAAAAAAAGATTTTCGAAAATGTTACACCAGGTTATACCTTTAAAAAATATTTTAAACGAGAAAACAAAACAGAAATACTCTTTGTTAGACCGGACCTGCGATTTATCGGCCTTTTTTATATTTTAAATCATCTATAGTTTATAAGTAATAAATTGAAGGGAGCGTAAGTCAGGGAATAGAGCAACGTTGCCAAAGTGGGTTCAGATGCACTAAAAGTTGTCAGTGTGTTCTAAACCTGAATTTGCTGTTAGGTAGCGCATGGATATCGCTCTTAATTTCTTTGCTATATTCTTCGTCAGTGATTACATAAACATAATTTTGTATGTTTTTTGTTTTTAATTTATTATTTTTATTAATTTTCCGTTTCTACCCAACTAAGAATTCTACTCCATTTTTTAGATTCAGTTTCAACTTCACTCATAAGTGGAATAAGCGCAATGCCCTCATACTTAGATGTGGGAGAAATGCAAAATGATGTCCAAGAAGAAGACTTGTTACCTAATCGAAATATCACGGGGGACTTTTCTAGTGAATCGGATTCAGAACACAGGGAAATAAGTTTTGCTTCATCACACTTCAGTAGAGATAGTTCTTCTGAAGATGAAAGACTGTTAGAAAAAGATATTTCGTTTAATAATGTAGAGGAAGAATCTAAAAATTCTACGTTTCCTGGAACATTATTGAACATGGTTAAATCTATAGTTTATAAAAATGACACGCCAGTCAAAAGACAGGATAGTGATGGTAGCAGCACTAGCAGCAGTGATTTTGAATTTGTTAATACAGACGATATCAAATAATTTTTAAGTTTTTAACTGATTTGAGAGTGATATTTTTATTTTAAGATATTAATTGTAAATTATTTATTTACATTAATTTATTTACTTGTAAATAAAGTTAGTTTAAGATTAGTATTTTTACTACACACTGTTGAGCAATTTTTTATTTTCTCGATTATTAAAATAAGTAAATGAATCTTAATGACTACTTAGTTTATATTTATGATATTAAATGTTGTGATTAACAAAACCGTTGAAAAGACTTCAGTAAATGAAAAATTTCCCAAATAAGTTCTTACAATACAGGTATGAAGAGGGGTCCAAGAAAAGTGCCCTGTAGTACTCAATATTCTGTTCCCACTTAATTACTAACATAATTTACTATTTGTACCAATAAGCCTATGGTTTAAGCAACAAGAAGTTACTTTCAACTTTACTCAGAGGTGAAAACATTGATATTTAGACTCGATCTTTTATATTTCTGAAAAAGTGATAATGATAGGTCTTATCTAAATAAATAAAATCGTTTATGCTGAGGGACTGATCTATCAACGCGCAGCTAAAATTATTAAGTCTAGAAAGTTGAAATTTGAAACACAGGTGGAGGAGAGGGGGGGGCGAATGCTTGTAACACAAAAATATAAACAAATAATAATTAAGGGCCTATTTATACCCACTTATCATTAGTATTATGATTAAGGATTAAGTTGAACCTTCACAATGTAATGGAGACATTTATACTTGATTTATGATTAGTATTAGCATCAGTGTTGCCACCATCCGATGAAGAAATTATCGTGCACTGCTGCCAACATTATCGATTTTTCTTAAAAATTATGTTACAATTTTCATTTTGTTGTTTTGAAAAACGTCATGCATATTTTAATTTATTTATAATCGCATAAAAAATCAAATAAAAAATAACCCAAAAACTTAAATTTAGTCCAAAATAATTCAGTATCAAAATGAATATCAACATGTCTATCTTCCTCGTGTGCATACGATGATCTGATCCATCTCCTTTGTAACATTAAAATTGTAGCTTTCACCATTACACTTTGAAAGGCTATAATAGTGAATTTACAGTGCCATTGTACGAATTCTTTAAACATGAAATTTTGTACTAGTATTTGTCAATTAATATTTAATTATTTAACTCTGAATAGTAATACAGTCACCACTGAGTATCAATTTTTTGTAAATTGCATAAGTTCTATGTTTTCCCGATTTACAATTCTAAGAAACGCTGTGTAGTCGGGGATTCCCCGCTCCGTGAAACAGACGTTTTCCAAGTACGGTAGTATTTATGTAGATGGCCCTTTGACTTTTATTATAGCTTTTTTTTTAATTGCCAAGAACGTCATACGTTAAAATGTTCTTAATTAAACCTATTTTTGAATATTTTTAAATAAAAACTAGTAAAAATATTAATAAAAACACATTTGAAACTCAAATATCTTAAAAAATATAAGAATACAACTGGCCTCTTACACACAGTGGCGGCTCGTGGGGCATTCGTTTTTTCCGTAGGAAAACAAGTTCTCCGCTTAATGAAAATGACATATATTTCAAAACAATCAGTTGGGGCAATAACGATTTCTGAATGTGACTACAGGGAGCTAAATATGACCACTTAAAATGCATTTGACTATGTATGTGGCTATTTAATCAACAAATCATTACATAAGACAATCTAAGGAATATTTAGTCCAGTTTAATGCTTTATTTCATAAGGTTGTCAGTAATTTGATAATAGAGTTAAAGCAATGCCAGAAACATATACGTAAACGTATCTAATGACAGCTACGCCTGCGCAATAGCTATTTTTCCCACGTATCTATTTACGTATAAACGTACGTATTCTCTGGAATAGGAGGAGCAGGGTCACCCTGTCAAACAAACTACTAATATTCAAAACTATTTTGAGACCAATCCTGACATATGGATGTCCGGTGTTTTGCTCTATGGCAAATACGCATTTCACCAAATTACAAGTAGCTCAAAATAGATGTCTTCGGCTAGCTTTGGGATACGATCGCTATGCCAGAATAGCCGACATGCACAGACAGACAGATACTCCACTCATCAAAGACTATATACTTGATGCAGCCGAAAAATTCTACAAGCGGTGCCTTCCCGATAATGTGAGAGATGATATCTTTAGCATATATCGGGGAGACAACGTGCGTAGAAAACACGGCTGCATCCATGCTAAACTCGACATCTATCAAAACAGACAATAACGCTCCCAGACATACTAAACAATATCTCGCACCGACTAGCCATTTACACAAAGTGGTCGTACGGCGGACTGATCGCTGGATCGGCCATCGGGGCAACAAACGCGAAACTTTACATTCGCGAGTGTTGCTTGGATGGTAGATACAAAGACCACTCTGTCTGTGGGATATACTAAAATACCTAAGACTTTACTAACGTACATACAAGGACAACCCTTTTTTTTCTAGCTTTTTCAGGGGACAAAAAACATAACTAAAACGCGACAAATCCCTACCCATTTCCCAATGCCGATTCCAAAAAGAACCTAAATTCCTCAATAATACCGAAACGGTAAGGAGTGAGGGCTGAAATATTTCCAATAGAAATCAAAAATGATTATTATAGGTGGACATGTCCTTCTCGGTCCCCTGGACCCGCACGAAAGGATATTATCTCGGTAGTGTTGTATATACTAATTAGTTTTGACATGTAGATAAATTTTTAATATGTAAATAAAATCTTCTAATGTAATGTACGTATTCTTACGTACGCCTAATACGCATTCTTATCGAGCCGAGCAAATGCTTCGGGAGCATCCGATCGCACCCGATTTAATAAAACTAATGACATATTGTAACTTTATACTGTTCTGTTTTTTAAATGTTGAGCCATAATACGAAACGAGTTTCATATATAACAAACACATCACACTTATTCTTAGAAAGTTCATTGAAAAAAAAAAGAATTAGTAAAATTACCGGACATTTTGATACTTGATCATAATAATTATAGCTCGTTTGCCAAGAGCTCTAGCAAGCCTAATTTTGTCGATTATTAAAATTGAATCTCGCATATAAAACATTATTTTCTATTTGTTTTATTATGTATTTGTAATATACAGCATCATCTAAATATTCATCATCATTTAAAGCCCTTAAATTCATAATTTACTCAATAAAACTAAGTACATAAGGTGATAAAGATGTAGATATGTTTGCGTCAGTGCTTTTGCTTTAACTATTGTTTTCTTCCAGATTGCTCGTTTAACGTATCGTCAATTTCCACGTTCACGTCAGAGATACGCATACGTATCTAGCATTGCTTTAACTCTCTAATCTCTGAAATACAACACGCATGCTCAACTCTTACGTTACGGACATTTATAAATAGACTTTATTTTTATGTCTTGCGTTAAGTTTCTACGGCGTTACTTTACGGTGGTTATAAATTATACTTTACGCCCTGGCAAGAAAACTAAGAGAAGTGAATTGATAAAAAAACGACAAATTCTTCATGCATTTAAGATCATCTATATAATTAAATTTGTATTTTTGCTATGATAATAATTTAAATTAATGAATTTAGTAATAATAATATTGCTATTCCAAGGGATTATTTAAAAATATTTGGTTTTAAATACAATTTGGTTTTCTCTCAATTAATTGATAAGAAAATTATGATAAAAGAGTTATTTTTTCTTCTAACTGTAACACTCTGTAGCTCAAAAATTAATAGGTTCACAACATATGTTATTAACTTTTCTTCTTAAAATCACTCAAGGATTTACAATCGATAATATGCTCCAAACAAAATGAAAATTAAATATTCGAAAATTGTTTTTCGTAGATCGCAAATCGAAATCCGAAGTCAGAATTATCTGAAATAAGTTTTTAAATAAATTTGAAATTTCGGAAACAATCTCAAAAATCCCCCTACAAATTATTAAGACCATCCCCGGACCCCAAATGTGAAAACAAATATTTGTAGATTTGAAAAAAAAAACCTGTTATAGGCGGGGGTCGAACCCACATCTTCACCTTTTCCGGAAGTGTTCCCTTACCGTGAGGACTCTTTCAAACAACGGTATTGTTCGTACGGAGAAAATTCGTACGAATTTTTTCCGTTTCTTGGTAGAATTCACACTTGACGGTTTTCTTCTCAGTGAACCGTCTTTAGCAATTGTATTTTATGTCAGTTGGTTATCCATGAATCGAAAGCGCACCGTTGCCATGTGGCTTTTGTACCGTCATATAGAAAAGTATCGGAAAAGACAATCGTATATACTGGGTGCACCCAATTAATAAGAAAAGAGATGAAGTGGGTACATCCATTTGCTTAATGAAACATTTAGGTGCAAACGAAAATACAATTTTTAATTACCTTCAGATGTCCATTGTATCTTCTGATAACTAGCTAAAAGACAATTTTCAGCGACAGATTACTCAAATGTAAAACTTAATTGAACCTATGGAAATGATGGCTGTGACACTGAAGTATATAAAGAGTTTTATGTTTGTTTCGTTTATTATCTTGTAACAAGTAATGTTGGTTTTACTTACCGTGTTTTAGCTCAATTTTATTAGGGCCGTGAGTAGCACTTAATAACCTTGACAAAACTTAACTATAGGAAAGGTATGGAGGGCGCCACCAAACTTACATAAACATATCATTTAAGGTGAATTATAATAGTTTGGCAAATATAATTAATATGACTGATGTTAAAACAGAACGTATATGTTTATGCAGGCAAGTAACAATTACAATCTACACAAGCCATGATTCGTTTAAATTACTTCTTTATTTAATGTTTCAAAGATAAAAGTGAAACTTATCTCAAAGTAGGACTGGTGTAGGTCTTCAATCTTTTCAAATAAGGACGGTCTCCTACAGCGATGCGTCTTCTTCTAAATATAAATTAACATGTTTGTAATCATAACTGCAACTATCTTCTAATCATAAATCAACATATTTGGGACCATAACTTCAACTGTATTCTAACCATTTGTTTAAAAAATATATTTTAAACTATGTTCTCAGCGGAGTTGTAATAAAACCATCCAAAGGTTGACTTATCTAAAAGATTGAGACCTTTTTGAAGTTTACGTAATAAGGAAAAATAAGGAACAAGGAGGTAAGATGTTTCTGAACACATAATGAATAAAAAATAATCTTTACAGAAATTAATGACACGTTCTAAAACATCTAACCTCACATTTTTAACAACTAAATAAATCGCGATCCATTTCGTTAATCTTTGCAGAAATCTTGTAAATATTAATCTTGTACTCACCATAAAATACTGATGGTTCTCACCACTAATAAAAATATCACATACTGTTTAAGATTACTTAAATATTAGCAGATTTAATAAGCTCGACTGCCTCGTTCTGAGGTATTATTGTAAAAGGCTTTTTCAAGTAATACCTGTCGAAATTCACTTTCGATCCGAACATACAACTTATAAAAAACAAAAGATAACTATATAAAATATTGGTAGCGAAAGAATGAAACTATCGGTCCTAATAGAGATGGGACAATCATTTTAAAAATAGTTTTAAAATTTTAAAAAATAACGGTACTAGAAGAGTAACCGTTACAATCTACAAAATCAAAAAATAATATATTTTCTTTTAATATGCCAAACTACAGAACTTTATAATATCAGTTTATAATATTTTCGTTTATGGTCATCTCTGTATCTGTAACGTGTGGAGGGTGAGTTACCCCACAGCATGTATGCCTCACTGTGCATCCTCCTGAGATGATGGGCACCTCCTAGCCCGTGAGCCAGCCTACAGATTTAATGTAGTTGACAACGTCGCCAAGAGGTGCTTCTCTTAAATCGGCCGGTGTTAGCCGATACTCGCCGAACACAAATCTTCTAATAAATGAGAGCGTCGAGCAATCGTAAAGGATACGCTCGATGGTCTCATCTTCTTGTTGGCACCCTCTGCAGAGTACGGCTTCTGACAACCCCATGATATGAAGATGCGTTCGTACTTGGCAATGACCAATCAGAGTACCTGTGACTAAGCGCAGATTATGTCTAGTCATAGTCAAGTATTTGTTTGCTGCAGGATTGTCAGGATAACTTAAGAGCTCCCTGGCAATTCTGTAGTTTCTGGTTTCATTTCATCTTTCCTTGAATTTCACAAGGGAATGTTCTTTAATTAGGTCTGTCACTGCCGATTTTGTCAGGTCAATAGAAGGGCCAGGTCCAAAAAGTATTTGGTTGGCTGCTTTTTTGGCTAGTGAATCAGCAAGACGGTTACCTTTCGATGTGGCGTGACCTTTAATTCATCTTAAGATAACCACGATGTTGATGGATACTTCGACCAAAGCTTCGTGACATTCTAGTACTAACCCTGAATAAATTCGTGGTCTGTTCAGGGTGAGTAGTGCTTGTCTGCTATCTGTATAGATGAGCATGTTCCTTCTAGTGATATTATTTCTGGTTATTTCTTTTGCTGCTATGAGAATCCGCGTTAGCTCTGTTTGAACTACACTGGCACTATTGCTCACAGCCCATTTTATGTTTAGGTTTAAGAATCTGGAGTATGTTCCGCATCCTGAGCCTTGTTTTGTTTTAGAACCGTCGGTGTAGATATGAATCGTACCTGCCACTTCTGGCTCTTCTATTTGTTCTAACTTTATATGGCTTATGGAAGATATATATCGGTGAGATGGAGTCCATGTTCGCTTGAAGCAGTGGGAACGTATCGTGCGCCTCCTGCCAAAAGTAACGTCTCGCCTCACCAGATCCTACATCAGGTTCTATTCCGACAGTGCGGAGGCGTGTCATTGTAGTCAGAGCAACCTCCTTGATGTAAATATCAAGGGGAGTGAGACTAAGAATGACTTCCATCGCTCTAGTTGTTTTCATGGCTCCTGTTATGTTGAGACATGCTGTTCTTTGAATGTGTTCTAGTTTACGGATAGCTGTTAATTTTTGGGTTTTCGGTATGCAAACAACTGCACCGTATGTTAACATAGGTCTTATGATAGCCGTGTAAGTCCATGCGACGACTCTGGGGGAATCGCATGTATTTATAGACTATAAATAATTATTAAACATGTATTATAACATTCAAATCATAATTTTACAAAATTTCAACAGCTATTCACAATTTATTAAAATATTTACTCGAAATTGTTATTAACATCTATAAAATAATTTTGTACGCCAATGTATCGCGTCTACTTCGGTGAGATCCGCCGCAAACCTGTCAATTTATGTGTATAAAGTGGGAGAACTGGCAAAAGCCTTTCCAACTTTTACTTCTTCGTCCGAAAGCATACGCTCTAACAGATTTTAGGCGCAATAAACGAACAATTTAGGAAATTATTTTGGTGGAGAGATGCATTAAAAATGTCTTATAATGTTGGTAAATTTTCTTAGGTATGTAAAATAAAAGAAAATCACTGTTTTTTCTGCGTCCGCATATAGACGCAGAAAGGTGGTTGAAGCAGAATCATATGCAACTTCGCAATTTATGGACGCAGATATATAAAATAAATAGTGCAAACTGATCTCATAAAACTAAAGAAAAAGAAGTGTATTTGAGATCAAACTTCCTTTCAATTTATTAATTTGGGAAAATTAAAAACACAATTAATCTAAAAATAATCTTTATAAATTTAACATTTGGAATACATGTAACATAATTATCATATAAAAAATAATAAATTTAGAAAATAATTAACTTAAAAAGGATCTAAAAAATTCTTTGTCTCACAAACATCCCAACAAACAATTAATAAGTGCCGTGATGTTGCTGGCATTTTGATGTAATTGAAGGGAAAATGAATGCGACAATTAGGAGATAAAAGCCTACTTTTGGTCTTTTAACACTAGCCCAGCATTATGTTGGTTGATGATGGCTTTACGAATGATAGGTAACTGTATTGGGTAAATGCATGGTAAAGGTCAAAAGACTTTTAAATGCTGCAGACTTAACCCCAACACTCCAGGAGGATTCCGTCCTGCGTTCACCGAAGATCGCTTGCTACATACTCAACGCATGGACATGTACTATGCGGCCAGTTTCGGATTGCTGGTATTCACTATTCATTGTAATTTCTTACTTTTACATGTTGTTAATTTAGAATATTTTATGAATAAAATTTTAATAGAAACATTTTTCTCTATTATTGTATTATATAGGTGAATTAACTAAAATGTTCTATATTTAGTATAGAATTTATAATTCAAACGATACTACTGGCCAATGAGGCACTATCGAATCGTGGCACAAATTCTTTAGATTATTCCAACAAAATTATTCAGGATTCTGTGCAATAATCAATTATTTTCTCCACGGCAACACTGCTCTGAAGTTTCTACCTAAATGGCACTCTGTTTGAAAGAACTACTAATTATTTATACCCCGTTAAAAATTAAAAAAATACTACTTTTTTTAACAAATTTTCTCTTATCTCAGATTCGCTTCATTTCATGTATCAAAATCAACCATTCTTTATTCTGATCGTTTCGCATTATATCAATTTTTTTCTTTTATCTGACTAGACAATTTTTTTGATACTTATTGTTTTTGGGATTGAATTTCTTCTAAAGTTTTGCATGCATCTAATAATACACTCGCTAATTTGTATTCGTCGTCTTCTTCTGTCAAGCAATGGACTACATGCGTTGTAAGCATTGTGGTATCCTTAAGAGAAGTCGAAGCACACCATTCATCATCCTGTAAATAAATATTGACTGTATAAACTTGCCAGTGAATTACTTAAATACATTAAAGATGATGTTAAAACTGAATCATATTTTTATTTTGTAACATTCAGTATATGTTTTTGTTATATTGGTCAATATGATATATGTTTTAGAAGTATCTTTTCAATAAAAAGTCAAATCGATTTTTTAATATCTGGTTTTTTATAAGTTTTACTGTTTCTGGTTCTATTCCATATTTGGATCATTTTTGAAAATATATTTGAACGGTTAGTTCATTTTATATTTTACAGATGAAACAATTATAAACCGAGAGATGCTGACAGATGAAACTTGATGAATTTCTCCTTCCTACCTCTAAAGATAGTGAGAAATCGTTATGGGCTAAAGACAAACGTATTTGGGCGTATTCGGCGTGACCACTGTTGGATTCGTAGCTTATTAAAAGTTGAACCCAACACAAATTATAAATACGACCCTAAGGCTCGCTTACCAAGTGGACTGTCTCCTTTCGGTGCTAGCTGCAAATGTCTCCATACAGATAATGACATTTCAACAACTTCGTAACAAACAATTTATTGTGCAGAAACGCTGCACGATAACTTTTAAATTTATACATATTTACACCAAACTTTTATTTAAAAAATACCTCGAGGCTTCACTGCCTTATGTTCACATTCTATTTTATTTATTATTATTTGATTATCTTTGCTCAGAGAACTATTTAATATATAACAGAAAAACTGTTTATGTATGTAACATATGTATGAGAGAGTAATAAAAGCATTTCTAACGCAAAACTTAGTACGGTCATTTTAAATATTTTTACAGAATAATCTAAATATTTCCTAAAATTGTAATAAATGTACCTGAGCTATTACAAGTTTTGGGTCTTTTATTGGTCCTTTATAAACATAAGCTGTACAGAACAATAGAAAAAGGTATGGACAGGCCAAAAGCCCTGTGTATTAAAGATTACATAGCCAGCCGTATCTTAAGATTATTTTCAATAAGTACCTATTTGTCAATTTTGTTTTATTTTAATTCCAAGAATTTCTTACAGTAATCGAATTATAAGTACAAATTTCACCGAAAATGCGATTATAGGTTTTCCATTTAGTAAGGAGGTCCAAGTTGTGTATTCTTGACAGTTTACTAAATGTCGTTTAGTTGCAACTTGCAAGGTGCAGTGTGAATTCTAGTGTGATCATGGAAAATTTGGAAGGGCCGCGTAAACGACAAAAAATCGGTCCTTTAACAGTTAATGAAAAAACATTAATATTTAATTGTTTTAAATCATTTACAGACAAACATTTATGTAAAAGTGTTGATGACACAGTGCAATTAGTTAGTAATACGCTTGGTGTTGGGAAATCTACGATTTACAGAGTTGTTAAAGAAGAGATATGTGGCGAGTTTCAAACAGCACGTAAAGCTCCAGGAAAACCAAAATTTCAATTAGAAAATCTTTTGAAAGAAAGACTTCGAAGGAAAGTGCATGCGTTCTTTTTTAGAAAAGAATTTCCGACAGTAGACAAAGTTCTTGCCACGGTTCGAGATGATAAGGATTACCCTGAAATGAGTCGAAGCACACTATGGAAACTTTTAAAAGAAATAGGTTTTCTATGGAAAAAGCATTCCAGAAAGTCTATTTTAATAGAAAGAAGCGACATTGTAGTATGGAGAAGAAATTACCTAAGGACTATGAAAGAAATAAGAAACCAAAGAAGAAATATATTTTATTTAGATGAAACGTGAATCAACGAGGGACATAAACCTAATAAATTTTGGCAAGATGAAACTGTTACAAGTCGAAGACAGGCTTTTTTAAATAATTTATCTACTGGTTTAAATCCACCATCAGGAAAGGGGCGCAGACTAATAATAGTACACATCAGTAGTTCAAACGGTTTTGTTAAAGGTGGTTTATTGACTTTTGAATCTACTCGTAACGGTGACTACCATGAGGATATGAATGCTGATGACTTTAAAGAGTGATTCGAACAAATTATAGATCTTCTTCCTCAGAACTGTATAATAGTAATGGATAATGCAAGTTATCACTCGAGACTTATAGAAAAAATGCCCACAACCAAGTGGTTAAAAAAAGATTTACAGAATTGGCTAAATTTAAAGAATATTAAGTTCCATCCCGGTCCTGTGAGAAAAGAACTGTATCATTTGTGTTCCCTTCATAAAGAGAAATTCAAAAAATATGAAATTGGTGAAATTGCAAAAAATCGTGGGATGACGGTGGTTAGATTACCACCATATCATTGCGAAGTAAACCCGATTGAACTAATATGGGCACAGATAAAAGGAGAAGTTTCAAGAAAAAATAATTCTTTTAAAATGAGTGATGTTAAAAAGTTGTTTTTGGAGGCTGTAAATAATGTGAAGCCTGAAAACTGGGAAAAGGTATGTAGTAAATCATACGATTAAAGAAGAAGAGAAAATGTGGAAGTTGGACAATATTACTGATGAAATGATCGAGCCACTCATTGTAAATATTGGTTGCGACAGTTCATCTTCTGATTTCGATTCTGATTTGGATTTGTAGGTAAGAAGTAGTTTTTATATTAAAATTATTATTTATGAACGTAACGTTGTTTAAAAGTCAAAGTTTAAACCATTATACCTACATAACCCGTTTGACACAATGTTCTTAACATACCTTATAGAAAAATAAAACATTTTAGAAAAAATTGCACTTTTTTACCTTCAGCTGTTTAGAAGTTATAAGCAGGTTAATTAGGTGAAAATATAAGTGTATACTCGAGGAATAACTTCAAAAAATATTTTAACTGCATACTAAAAGAAGTGGTACGCCTATGGATTACGAACGCTTTATTATTTTAATACTCTCTCATACATAAAAATAGACATTAGTGAAGTACAACCTTATCTAATGTTTTGTACCGTTCAAAGAAAGAGATACATACATGTCTACGTGCCAGAAACTCGTTGCAATTCGGTGAACGCGAGTATTGTCACGTAGACGTTTATTTACAGATGTCCACAATGAACATCTGCGTACCGAGCACAGAACCGTCTCTCGGTATGTTTTAAAAATATATTAGTTTTGAAACATCCATCATAATGAAAAATGTGTTCAAGAAAACCGAACACATAAAATATGTTTGTAGACGTGATGGGTCACTTGAAAAAGTCCATTGGCAAGTTCCAAGTCTGAAAAGTTGACTAGTCCAAACACACTTTTCAAAAGTGGAAAAGTATATGGCGTATTAACTAAATTTGTCTGAATTTCTTAAAAATAAAGGCAAAATATAGTTAAAAAGGAAGAAACGACAAATGATTACTAACTTTTATGTTTTAACAATCTTATCTTATTAAAATAAACTAGTGAAAAAATGGAATTATTTTATAGAAGATTTGCCTAAAAAACGAAAGTACAAATGCAAATATTGTTCCCAAAGTATTTTTGAAAAATCTCAAGGATGGAGATTTAACTTGTCTTGTGAAGCATTAACTAAGCCCTAATAAGACGTCTTTCAGACGACTTATTAATAGCTTAATTGTAATGGTCTTGTAAAGCCTTAAATAAGCCATAAATAAGACGTCTTTAAGATGTGTTATTAATGGCTCATAATGGTCTAGTAAGTCTTAAATAAGTCATAAATAACATCGGTAACAGATTCTTCTATTCTTCCCTCTCTGGTTTTAGTTCCATATTATTTAAATAAAAAGGGACTAAACACAAATGCACAAAATAGCCCAAAGACACTTTTGGCGGCTATAATCGCGTACACAATGATATAATCAATAATCCACAATAAGCTTGGGCCATAGACATTTTTGGCTTGGGCTTGAATGTAATGTTAAGTCAAACGTCAAACTTCACTTCATTTGATTCTTCTTGTTAAATTTAAATAATGTAAACCGTGCAAGTTTCCGTCCGACTGAAAGACGTTTGTAAGCTTTGAGCTTTCACATTAACATATGGATTTGGCAAGACGTCTATAGAACGTCTTTGAGCTCTTACATTAATATGTCTGAATTATGGCTTTTGCCAGACGTCTTATGAGACGTATTAATAAAGTCTTAGGACATTGAGAGCAAACCAAGACACAAAAAAGACGTCTTTCAGACGTCGTGTGCTATCTGGGCAATGCATATGAGAACAGCAATTGTGCTCTCATCGGACATAAAAGACCAACAAGACGAAATCATGCGACGAACACAAAACGCGACCAAAATGGACATAAAAGACGGAACAAGACACTTGGAATCGACAGTGATACTGACAGGACTGAGAAAGGGGATCACTTTCGAGGAACTCACAGATGCCCTAAAAACAGAAAACAAGGACAAAAATGACAACTTAGGGGACAAGATACAATAATATTGACGATAATATCGGCTAGACCCTGCAGAAATCCGTACAAAGAAAAGGTATACATTAGAGGACCAACTAAGGGGGCGTCCATTAATTACGTAAGGTATTTTTGAGAATTTTCCTCAACTACAAGTGATATTTAAAATTTTATACTAATCTTTGACAAATAAATGTCATTATTAGACAAGTATGGTCTATGTGAACAGATCAGAAGCTAACGTTTGGGCGCGGAATATTCAAATTGCTTCTGCTAGTTTAAGAAGAGTATAAGTACGCCTACTGTCGATTTAACTCTTATCCAGAGGAACAAAACTATAGTTTGACTATTACCTAGTGCGTAATTTTTGGAAACTAATTCATTTATTTACTAGACTTTAGATATACAAATGGTTAGAAAAATAAACACTATCAACCTCTCTATTTAATACTTACCAAAGACTGCATGTATTTCGTCAAAGCGGGACTAAGTGCTGAAATATTATCGCTAAGTTGCGGAGAAGCCACCAAAAATTGCGACAACCTTTTAGCAGCCACTATTAACAAACATTTTCCGAGTTCTTGACTTTCGTTAACCGTCGGTATAAGTTCGTCGGCTAGTACATCGAAACCGCGCGAATACAATTGAACTACTTGATATCTTCGTAAACTGTCGACATCCAAATTCCAAATTTTTCCTAAATTTAAACTTTTTGACATCCAATAAACGTGGTCGGTTGAATATATTTTTCCAGATTCGTTCGCCGTTATGCTATCCATGCTGGCGAGTATAATTTTAAAAAGAAATTGAATTCTGTTGGAATTCAATCGAATGTCAGATTTATTAGATGAAACTTGTATCTTTTTCTGCAAATCGGTGAAAAATAAATTAACAATTGAAGCGTCGAATAAATTATTTATAGGCTTCGATTGTTTTACTGAAAAAGTAGTTGTCATCAACAAAACCAAACTGAGCTGGTAATGCAAAAAAAGCAGTTCAAAGTTAACAACTCTCTGTTGCATTGCCAATTCAACTAAAGGCTTTCCATCGTTTTCCCAAATGTTTTCAAACTTGATTGCTTCTTTTGGGATATTATAACTTGCGTTTACTGTTTCCATGAAAGCGTCCAGAAAATCTGTGGAAATGCTCAAAAAGAGAGACAACTGATAATCAGTTAGACCAGTATCTTGCCTGCATAGCCTTTCTTTAGGAAGTTTTCCGACTTTGTTTATTAATTTGCAAGCATTTTCGTTAACGATTTTCAAATGGGTGTTCCAAAGAAGCTGATAAAGTCCTAAAACAATACATATTTAAACTTTTATTATAATAATTAGTAGATAGGATATGTATGCGCAAAATGTGCAAACCGCATGTATGTGCAAAACCCATGTATGTGCAAAATGTGCAAACAGGTATTTGGCTGATGACCCTAGTTAATGAGTCTGTCTAGATACATGTAATTGGTTAATAACCTGCTGTGGTTAAACCGGTTTGACCGGTTTATGGCCTCGAGACTAAGCAAGTAAACGACAGCAGAAAAAAGACCAGCACCACCATTTTACTTTTAAACAGGTTTGTATAATTTAGTGCACATACTCCCTCCATCCACGAGATTCGGTATAAGTATATTTAAAGAACATTTATTGTCAACAGTAGTACAAAATGTCTTCAAATCGTAAAACTGATGTGTTTGTTGGTGAACAAAAATTTTATTTGAATGATTTAAAAAACAACATGTGTTGCTTGTCTGTTGTGATATCTGGAAACAATAACGATTCAGTGATCTTTAACGAAAAGGAGTGACAAGATTTTCTCTATTACGAAAAGGTAATTAATTATTTTCTAAAATCACACAAACTCAGAGATGCAATTAATAGGATTTTTTTGGAATTCAGTTTTTTTGCAGCAAATGGATAGTGCAGATATAGTTAAAGATGGTTACAAGATAATGAAACCTTTAAAGAATATAAATCCGGTAACTTATGGAATGGCCTTAAAATTGATTTTTCTTCATCCTGATATACTTAAAGAAGATTTACAACTATAAAGAAAGTAACTTTTAGAGAAGATCATATGATCACCTTATTTGGCATGACTAAGCTTAATAATGCAATAACATTTTTATGTCTGCAATATTTTCATCATGAGATATTAATTGATACCTTATATAGTAAATAGTTGTATGCAGATCTCTTTTTCAAGAATCTCATAGGGGGTAATTGCATTATGGTAGTTGAAATTTATTTTTAGAATAATTTTTATAATGGCTTATTTTGTCTCAGGAGCATAAATTTGATATATATTTTTTCTTTCATACATATTTCTTAAGTTATTAGGCTAATGATTTTATTAGTAAACCAGAATATACATGAAAAGGTTATACGTTAATTTTTCAATAACAAATAGAGGAAAGTCAGACATGTTGGAATGTGCATTAAATGTCTAGACTGGGGTCATCAGCCAAATACCTGTTTGCACATACATGTGTTATGCACATACATGGGGTTTGCACATTTTGCGCATACATATCCTATCTACTATAATTAGTAGAAATTTAGAAACGGAACAAGCAGGACAAGGGCAATACACTAATAGCTATTTGTGTATTAAGAGCAGAAAGTGACACTTTGGCAGTTGATACAGAAAGTTTCCGCGAGCGTGGCAATCTGTCCAAACTGAACGACTTTCTGCGTGAATTACACACAAGATTTTTTCTACGATCACACCAAAATACTATCACCATTCGATATCAGGAACCTGTGCATTCTCCCAAATTTCGATGGGAATCCAAACAAGTTGTACGAGTTCATCAAAGTATCCACCTTACTTCTAAATCATTACTACGATCGAAGCCACTTGGCCAACATCCAGAACCAATTTTTGCTCATTTGGATAACCAGCAAAAGAGATTATATCAATAAACGGTTGTGAAAATTGGGACATCAAGAATACGCTCATCCAAAACTGTAGAGATCAACGTAATGAAAACATCCTTACAGTAAATATGGTAAACATGCGACAAGGTTCAAATGAATCGCCAAACTATATCGAAGTACATATCCAAAACCCAGAAATAAAAAGAAAATAAGAATTCTTTAGCCAACAAGCCTTAACTACTTTCTTGACAGGATAATCTATAGGGTCTACAATAAGAGCACTGAGGCCAACTAACCTAACCGCAGCCATTCAATACATTCAAGAAGAAAATAATATTAAGTATGTCCAGAAACACTACCATTAGAATACATCTTTAAATGGAAGACTAACTCACAATGCCCATACTTTAAGGCAACATATTCATCAACAACAAATAGCCCATACACAAACACCACAATTCCAACCCACCCCAGCAACACCTCTACCATGGCAGCAGTAAGTTTTCAAACCACCACAACCTATGGCGACACTAATGATGAGATATACAAACCCTTAACCTCCTTTTGGATCATCATTCCAGAACTACCTAAAAACAATCTTTAATCAGCCAAGAACAGATTTGAAACCTCTTAACATTTAGACCACCGTAGCAACAAAACACTTGGTGTCCAAGACCTGGCCCATCATGACAACCCAAGTCAACAGTAACCAATAGAAGTCGACCAAAGAACACAAAGTCTCAACAACCTCAACCAAAATTTACGTTCGAAGAGCTTTATAATATCGAACAATATGACGAACAAGGATAACAATATGAAGAATCGAACTTCACTCTCTCTGCGAAAAAAAAAAAGAATTCTTCTTCATCGAAATTTCTGAACTTCCTCTTAAACTTCTTATAGAAACTGAATCATCCAAATCCTTCCTAAATTTCGAAACAACCTCCAATCAAATATGAACCACGTGTCGTCAGTTCCATTTTTCAAAATTATGCACAAAATTACAGTGTCGAAATACCTTCTTTCCCAGAGTTCTCTTCAAATAACAGTTTAAAATTTTATCTTTTTAAATTCCACAAGATATTTGATGGTATTATATGCCAAAAGATAAATTACCAGTCTATACGAAGTCCTACAGATATTCATTCAGCCACAAAGAAGAAGTCAGAAACCAAATTTCCTTCGTGTGAGAAGAATGTATTATAAGACCATGCCAATCCCCATAGTCCTCTCCAATATGGATTGTCTCCAAAAAACTCGATGCATCAGGTAAAATTAAATGGCGTATCGAGATTGACTAAAGAAAAATGAATGACAGACCAATCGATGACCGGTACCCCATACACAACATCTCCGAATATTTAGACAGTGCCAATACTTCATCACACTGGACTTAGCAAGTGGATATTATCAAATAGAAATGGCAGAAAAGGATATCCCAAAGACGGCTTTCAATGTAGAAAATGGGCATTACGAGTTTGTGATAATTCCTCAAAAACGCCCCTGCAACATTCCAGCGAGTCACGGACAAAATTTTAAAAGGACTGCAAGGAGAAATATGCCTGGTGTATATGGATGACGTAATTGTCTTTTCAAAGCCCTTGCAAGAACACATGGTAAATCTGGCAAAAATCTTTCAACGATTTCTATATACCAAACTGAAAATTCAAATATACAAATGCGAGTTCCTAAAGAAAGAAATCAATTTCTTAGGACATGCCGTCACTCCAAGCGGGATAAAACCCAATCCTGCAAAAATTTAAGCCATTGGCAGCTTCCCAATTCCAAAAACAGAGATTCTTGGATTCCTAGGCCTCCTTGGATACTATAGGAAATGTATCAAAGATTTTGTTAGGATTACAAACCGCTAACCAAATGTCTGAAAAAGAGCGTTAGGATCAAATATACTCAAGAGTTTCTCAAATGTTTTAACACCTCGTCAAAGCTTCCTGACCAACGAACCATTACTTCAGTATCTGGATTTCACAAAGCCTTATAATCTCAAAACGATACAAGCAACTTCGCTATTGGTGCCATTATATCTAAAGGCCCTGTTGAAAGTGATAAACCTAAGCTTCTAGGACACTAAGCGAGACAGAAATAAAATATCCATTGATCGAGAAAGAAATGCCACCAAATACACCAAAGACCGAATTTTTAAGAAAATTGTTCAAATAAAAGTATAATGTTTGTTCTTTACATGATTTCTCTAAAATGGACTGTAATTGAAAAAGTATTTTCATTGACAATGTACATATAAAAATGTTTAGAGTAAGAAATTTTTTTATTATACCTAAACACTGGAAAATGGAATAATCATAATAAATATTGAAAACAACATAAACCAGTTTTGTTGTTAGTTAATGTTAAAAATTCATAAACATACCTTGTTTAATTTGAAGATTCTGGACGTTATTTAAACAGCTAATCGAAGCATTCAACAAACTAAGATCTTGCATATCCTTTTGCCAAGCCGTAGCATATTCCCAAGACATGTTTGTTAACAAACAATTTGCTTCGAGGCTGTATGGAAATTGTTCTTTTAACAAATTCAAACTGTCAAATATTTGCTCCTCCTCCTTATCCTCTTTGTAGTCATTCAAATTAACCTCTTTTGATTGGTTTTCGAAATCTTCTTCATACTTTTTAAAAGATTCGTTTAGAATTATATTTTCTGGATTGAAACCTATTGTTGTAAGCCATTGAGCTACTAGCTCACTAACAGAGCCTCTACCTTTTTGTAATATGTAGTTTAAACTGACATCTACTTTATCGTATTTCAACTTTGGTAAGGGACAATCTTTGGCTAAAGGTTTAGTTGACAAAATTATGTTTAACAGAGAGATATCTTCCAATTTACCTAAAATATTTGAGTATTTGAAACGATTATTCAAGTGTATACAATATTAATTTTTATTTTATTAAACTAATTCTACAAATAATGCTTTCTAAGATGAAAAAATGACAGAAACTAAATTCAAGCTAGAAGAATTTAAAAGAAATATGAAAGTAATGCTTTCAAGTCTAGAGTGACAACCCTGATATTTGACTAAATACTAATTTTTTTACCAATATATTTCTGTGAGAAAAACGTAGAAGATAAACTCGACCAATTGGTTAATATAATGAAGAGCTTTACTGATAAAAAGATAAAGACGAAGGGTACTGGAATTGCGGTGAACTGGGGCATGTACGCAGTTCGTACAAACGCCGTAGGGTCCCAACAACTTAAGACCACACGCCGCAGGAAAACTAGAGCGGGTCGGCCTAGAGGGGGCAGCTTCGACCCGAAACCGTTCCAAAGACCCTCTCATACTGATAGCCTCTTTGAAATGTCGCGATGATAGTGTATACGTAGACGGCGAAGTAAATGGTAAAAAGTATACACTGTTGGTGGACACTGGAGTAACTAGGACCATTATACGACCAACAACCATAAAGAACCTAAGAGACTTCTACCAACAAGATTGCGACTGCGGACTGCCACAGGTGAAAGTGCCAACATCCATGGGGAAATCCATGTTCAATTGGGAATTGGTACAGAAAAATTCACTCATACTGTTATTGACGCTGATATCGAAGATGTTATTATTGGAATGAATGTAATGAACTTACATGGTTTCCAGTTTGACTTTAAAAACAGAGTGATCAAAGTTGATGCCGAACAGGTATTCCTACATCCATATGGGGACAGTACTTGGATACTGATGCTAGTAATGTAGCTGGTGAAGATTATGTGATCCAGTTACGAAGAAGAATGGACGATATGCATGGTCCGCTCGCATCTTTAAATCGCCAGCGACAGAATGAAGGAGCGATACGATACCCAAGCCACAGAAGGAAGTTTCAAGGAAGGCGACAAAGTCTGGCTCCATAACCCAAAAAGACAAAAGGGTTATTCTCCAAAGCTTCAAAGGTCCGTACCTCATCAAGAAAAAAATCAATGATATCATTTACCGTATAAGTAAGATCCCGAACGGTAAACCAAAGGTAGTGTACCAAAACCGGCTGGCGCCATTTGTGGTTGACCATGAAGAGGGAGAAGTAAATCAACTTCAAGAAACACCTGAACTTGTCTTTGAAGAATTTATGGGTGCATATGGAGGTACCGGAAAAGCAAGACATGGTGTTACAACCGAGCAACAACAAGACCTGCTCACGGTTCCAAAAGACTACTCGCTGGTCCATAGCACTTCCGCCAACATCTACGACGCTTGAGGTCTGGCATCTGTATTCCGGAAGAAGTTTGGTCAATTGCCAGAACTTCAAGATCAGTTACCAGCCTCTGGAAAAGCATTAAAACTTCAAGATGGATCGCGTTATCTTTTCTATTTGGTAACAAAGAATACCTTCTGAGATCAATCCACCTATCATGATGTATGAGAAGCATTACTCAGTCTGAGGGAGCATGTACTGGAGTCTAATGTACAGAAACTAGCTATGCCAAAGATAGAGAGCAACCAACTGAATTGGAGGATCCTTAGAAACATGGAAGTAATCTTTCAAGATACCCAGGTTGAAATGCTGATCTGCAGCCATTCTCCCAACGTTCAGATTATAACGAAGACTGTCCATTGTTACTTCCATGCAACTGGAAATTGTAAAAGATCCAGTTGCAAATACAACCATTCAGCTATTTCTTAAGAAGGGGGCAATGTCATGAAATTTCTAAAGCCGATCCTGTATCTAAAGCAAGCGCGACCTTCAGTTGGCACCCGACTCATGCTCGAGGCGACGGAACGTTCAAGAATGCTGCCGACGCCCTAGAAACGGCTAGAACGGGCGGAGAGTGTCGTTGAGTCAGAGATGGAATTTTCGGGACCGTCTAGAGTATTCTGGTTACAGAGTTGGCTTGATATAAATATCGCGAGTTTGAAGACGGCAGTCAGTTGTATATAGACAGTTTAGTATAGAGTTTTGGAATGAAAAGTTAAATTGTAATAAATAAATTAGAATTGTTAGTTAGCGCCTAAGTATTATATAAATTAATTAGTACGTCTTAAATAAATTGTAAATAGTGTGTTTTAAATAAATAAACTATAAATAAATTAGACTATCGTCACAATATAAAGACTTTTAAAAATAAAGTTGAATTAAATCGCCATGGTGCGAATTTTTGATTTTTCTTAATTTTTCAAGGTTCCGGACCTTGTCCGAAGTTGACAAAATTAGAGGAAAATAAAAAATTATTTTGATATTTTTACAAAAAAAAATATTGCCGTATAAAATAAAAGGTTGCAAATTGTAATAGCTGTTCCAAAAACTTGTATGATTTATGTCATCGGTTTGCAGCACTTTTGCAAATTTTTTGTCTATGATATAATCAAAAACATTATTTTACAAAAAAAAAAAAAAATAATTTTCTGTACTTTCAAAAAAGTTGCAATTCTGATATAATGTTGAAAATAATACAGTATATATTGCTTTAAGTTTGCAGTAATTTTGTAATATTTTTAAGTTTTGGAATTATTAATATGTTCCGGACCTCGAAAAAGCTGCAAAATTAAATTTATAATTATTTCAATTTAATAAATATTTCAACAAGGTTTAAAAACTTTTGTTATTCATGTGAATTGATTATATTTAATGACTGGCCTATAACCGGGATTGTTTTAGCAACGATTTCGCGAAAGAAATTTAAAACTGAACTTATTTTTCTATATTTACTTTTTATTCTTACCTATGACTAGCCCCCACTCAATATCTTCTTGCGTCAGCACCTCCATGTCGCCTAAAGAAGTCGAAGATTCATCAAGCTGCGTCGCCTTCATACACGTTTGTGCTGCAATTTTACACAAAATCGCAGCCATAAGAGCTGGAAATGGTCTAGACGAATCAATCAAAATACTTCTAATATACGACCAAAAACCAGATATTTCGCTGTATTCGATTTCTTCAATTTCCCCTACCGACGTTTTTACGATAACATTCAACAATGTTAATAACTTTTTCATATCTTCTTCTAATTTGCTACTCAAATTAAGCGATCTATTGACCCAATAATTCAACAGCAGATCGAATAAATTTTTCGTAGGGATTTTCGTTTCCTTTAATTTTTCTTGCAGCTCGGTGAAATTTTGCGATTTTCCATCAATGTATGGTTTGAATAATAATTCGGAAACTTTAAACAGCAATTTTTCATCGTAATTACGTTTCAAAGGAATCGTTTCTGGAGTGGAATAATCGAATGCCGATACAAATTTGGATGCGGAAAAGTCTAAATTGTCCGAAAATTTAACGTGTGGTTGTGACATATTAGCAATATCATTAATGATGCTCAAATTTAATAATTTTCGAAGATTAACCATTTCTTTAACTTCGGTATTGAAAGAGAATTCAGCGTTATCTTCTGCATTCCGATCTTCCGATTTACATGGATTTGATAAAAATATAAATAATTTTAATAGAACTGAAGTATTTTGACATAATATTTTTAAATTTTTATTGTCTTCACCATCTAGATTTTCTAAGAAAAAATTAACACAATTCAAGATAAACTCTGCAGACAAATTTTTATTATCTAATAAAAATTCTACTATTTGACATTTGATATCGTTCGTATTTAGTTCGGTACAAATATTTAGCGCCTCGTTTAATATTTTCTCGTTTTCGAGATCGCCAGTTTTTAATAAATGCCGAAATTTTTTATACAAATGCAAATCTTTTGCTCGCTTGTTATTTTTTTCTGAAAGTGTGAAATGAAACGGTATCAACAACTCCTTAATTAGGCCAGTATTGTCGATAAATAAAGTAGTGCAGACGCAACTACGTTTACTCTTTGAAGCTGTTGTAAAACCTTGAAGTCCGTAACTAACGTATAAAAGCCTACTGTGTTTAGAAGCGGAAAAAACCGCAATTTTAGAACCTTGTTGAACCGAAAACACTTCGATAGTTCCCTTTTTTGGCGAATATATAACTAAAAAATGAGCTACTTTATTCTCTAATCTAGATTTTGACTTTCTTTCATCGGCAACTTGAATAAATGAGCACTGGCCTTCTCTATATCCCTTGAAAATTTTTAAAACAATTCCCTTAAAACAATCAATTACTAATACGCGTCCTAATGTATCGCAAACTGCTGCTAGTTTATGATCTGGTGATAAAATTATATCTGTGGCAGCTCGCCTTAAATCGCACAAACCAAATCTGCAACCCATGGGATCAGCGGGTTGTGCAAAAAATGATATCGGCTTCTCTTGTGAACTTTTGTTTCCTATTAACCAAGTTCTAAAAAAAATATTGATGGATTTTAAGTAACTCTTTGCAAAATTGAAATGATGAATATTAAATTATTCTCCAAGTTATTTTGAAATGTCTTCAAACTATCAATTAAATGTTGAATAGAATAATCTTAGATAATACCAGAAGTAAACAAATGAATTTGAATTACTTATAATAGTCCAATCAAATAGACCAATACAACAATATGTGAAAAAAATGTGTTTTTCTTCAACGAAAATATGTTGCTATGGGGCTTTACGACATTAGTATCAATGGTGGCAATAATTAACATGAAAGATGGTCCTCAACTATAACATGTAGCATTGGGAAATTGGTATCACTACGAGTGTCTCGCGACAGTAAGATGTGGGTTGCACGGATCATGCGCATTAAGCTAAATGTACTGACTACTTGCGATGATGTCAAATTTAGCAATTCTACCGTGATTCTACATTTATTGTATTTGTTTTCACATACTTCGATTTTTTCTTACTTTGTTTTACTCCAGACAATCGTCCAAAAGGACACTAGCTCTAACTTCGGTAATATTGAACGATTAGAACAAGTTAAACGGCGTTCAATGTTAAATAACATAAATATAATAAAAAACGACAGAAAATGCGCATTAATATCATCAAAAAGGCACCAAGCCCTATCTTCCATATTGTTAGTTTGATTCGTACGGAGTAAAGGATATTATATGTAAAAATCTGATGTGTCCAACACATGACTTTCCTATCTAGCTATTACAGGCTTCTTCCGGTTATTTTGTACAACCTATTGCAGCATCTCTATAAATGTTTAGAGGATAAACTAAATATATACATTGTCCACATACATCTACCGCGAAACATTTTTCTATAGATATTCATTGAAAATGAAAATACTGAAAAATTTAAATTTAGCACTTTTCCTACAATTTTTCCATTACGGTCCATTTTAAAAAAATCATGTATGAACAAATATTATAGAGATCGATATCGCAAACAACTTTTATTTCAACAATTTTCATAAAAATCAGAATTTTGCACATTTTGTCATATTTTTCGAATACGGACCATTTCAGGAAATTTTTACATAAAGCAAAAATTATAGATAATAATATTAGAAGTAACTTTTATTTGAACAATTTTTTTCTCCAAACATAAATAACAGATATATTCCCTAAAATATAAAAACGGCCTCCCATAAAGTACCCCCCCAGATGTTCCGACTTTGTCCAAAATCTAATCATTTCACGTCAGGCCGAAATAAAACTTAAGTTTAAAATTTAATGTTTTTTTCTTTATCCGTTTTTGAGTTTTCTTCAAATTTCGAAATTTACACATTTTCTCAAATATCTCGAATACGGTCCATTTTAGAGAAATTATCTATAGGATAAAAATTATAGACAATTATATTACAAACAACTTTTATTTGAACAATTTTTATAAAAAATTATTTTTTTTACATTTTGTCAAATTTCGCGAATACGGACCATTTTAGGAAAATTTTGTATATAACAAAAATTATAGATAATTATATTAGAAGTAACTTTTATTTGAAGAATTTTCTTCTCCAAACGTAAATAACAGATATATTCCATAAAATATAAAAATGACCACCTATAAAGTACCCCCCCAGATGTTCCGACTCTGCCCAAAATCTAATCAGCTCATTAGACGCTGGAACAAAGCTTAAGTTTGAAATTTGGTGTTTTTCCGTGTATCGGTTCATAAGTTATGCGTTATACAGACACACACACACACAGACACACACACAGACACACACACAGACATCATCGCGAAAATAGTCAAAACGGATTCAGGGGACCTCAAAACGTAAAAATCCGTCGAAAACTCGAGGTCGAAAAAAATCATGATTCCTATACTTTCCTTATATCTGTATACAGATAGGAAAGTAAAAAATCATATAGATATTATAAATAACGACAAAAAGCATGTGCAGTAGCATATTGCAAAGAGAGTATGAATGTTAAATATTGTTAGTATTGGTCACATACTTTGATTACTATACGGGGCAAGAGAGATGTCCGACACGCCCAACATAGGGCGCGGCCATTTTGAACCCTATGACACAGTTTATTCGCAAGGTGCAAAGTATATGGTGGGGACAGTCGAATCGACAGCAGCGTTCGCAGTGGACAAAGTTGCCATTAAATCTGGATTTTGTTGTGAATAAATTAATAAAAGAATTTAAATATCTCATGAACGGTTGGATTTACGAAAATTTTTCGTTTGTGCTAATTTGTAGAGAACATTTTTCTCCGTCGAATGGTGAATAATTAATTTTCCTAAGGTTATTAGTTTTTGAGTTTTAACAAATATTTAAATTGAATTACATTTAATTTTTAATTATTACGCCATTATATCAAAAACTATTGAGTTTTGGAAAATTTTACAAGAATACAAATTTGTTAATCATAGTTTTTTCTTGCCAACAAAGCAATTCCTATACTTTAATCTTTAACCATTCAGAAGTAATAGGGATAAATCTTCACGGCATACGATAGTCTGAATATGACATAATGAAGAAAATCTCTAAGCAAAATACGGTTTGTTTTTCTCGGTCTTTTGACAGTTAACCTTACTTATTAGGCATTCCAAACTGAATGGCTACCAGTGGGTTTTGACAGGTTATGATATGGAAAAATTATGGCAACCCTGTAGGCCTGGTGATTTAACAAGGTCAATGAAATAGATAGTTACATAGATTGATCATCCATATTTTTCAAAATAAACATAAGCTTATGCCTTGAAGTAAAAATGTAAGCAGTTATTATTTTTTAAATATCTGAAGGCTGACAATTGGTTTTAAAACACATTTTTGCTAAACCGTTTCAAATTAATAAATATTTGCCAAGCAATATGGCCGCTCACAAACGACCAGCTTTGAGCAATCTATATAACTATATATGTATCATTGACCTTGTTAATGACAACAGGGTTGCCATATCTAAACTGTCAGTACCCACTGGTAGCCATTTGGACAAGTCGTTGGAATGCCTGATTCTATACGAAAAATGGGGCATTCTACTTGTTGCGTTGTGAATTGCAAAAATACAGGCAAAAATAGTAGTTGCAAATTTTATATATTTCCAACTGCCAGTTGGAAATTAGAAAAAAGAGCGAAATGGATAGAAGCAGTTAAAAGAAAAAAGTAAGTAATGTACAACCTAACTTTACCTTTTCTTATAATTAAAATAATATTTTTATAGTCTTGATGGATCACCGTGGATTCCAAAACCAAATGATTGCATTTGTAGCGATCATTTTATTGGAGGTAAAAAATCAGAAGAGGAAGCAAGTCCGCGCATTTTCTAAATTCTTTCACTTCTCTGACATGATCTGCCCTTACCAGTTGTTTTCCTTCTTACAAAGTTTTAGGTTGAAACAATATCTCATGAGATATTGCCTCAAATCCTGTTTGAATAATGATGTTCATTGGCAGAGAATTTATTAAAACATATTAATAGTTTAAATTTTTAAACTAACCTTTTTTTGACAGTTAACCCAATACTATTCTTATGTTCTTCTTTATTTTTGGCCTTTATCTATTCAGCATTATTTTATTTAAAATAAAATGCATTTTATACTCATTAAAATTACTTTATACTTACTTTTTTTAATCGCGATATGTAATATTTACTGTTTATTTAATATTTATCACGTATTACACTTATATTTCACAGCGATTTTCTTTTTATTTTGTATTTATAAAATTTTTACATGTAATTCATCATTGATAGGGCCAGATTTAATACGGTCACAAGATGTCGCTTCCTTCGCGCACCCGGCGAATAGCTAAAGAATCAGATCGCTCACTCTGCGTCGGCACTTTTTATCTCAATGTTGCAGTTTATACACTGCGCAACTCAGATAATACAATATATGACAACCGCCTATAATAAAACAGCAGTCTTCTGCGTATCCTGAATTTGTATTCCTGGAGTGGATGTTATTTTGGAACTTTCAACTGGTCCGAGTGAGCTAATTGATTCTTTAGCAATAAACTGTGACTCCAAAAATAATATTCACTGACACTGACAGCAGCAAGCAAAATATCAGGTGCGTTTTAATCATCCGCTTCTGCTTCCGGAATTGTCGGTTCAGTCGTTCTAACCTGTCAGATTAAAACAAGAAAACCGACAATTCCGAAGCAGAAGCGGATGATTAAAAATATTGCACCAAGATGTAGGCAACACGTAATAAGGGTTCAAAATGGCGGAGTTTTCTATCTCCTTTTAAAAGGCACTTAGAAAGCTGCGCAGTGCGACCATTCTCCGTATAGTAAAAGAAAATCAAAGTATGTGGTATTGGTCGTATTTTGACAAATTGTAAAAGGGAAATAACACGTGACATGTTAATAATGTGCCATATTGACACTTTTTTGAATTCATGTCTCTGATTCTTATAATAAATATAACCTATTATTAATGATTCTCCATCACTCATGCACCCTGAGTTTTAATTACACATCCACAAATGTCATTTTTTTTGCGTTTGATAGTATTGGTAGGGAAGCCAGTGACACTTTTGGGTATATTATTTGTGAAACGTAAATTTATAAATATCTCGTTTATTTTTATATATTTGTATATTTATTTTTATATTTTTTATATATTTGTATATATTTGTATATATTTATTTATTTTTAATTGATTTTAATTTGTAGTAATTTGTTTTATTTTGTTTTAATGTATTTTAATTCGTTTCAATTCGTTTTAATTCGTTTTAATTCGTTTTAATTCGTTTTAATTCGTTTTAATTCGTTTTAATTCGTTTTAATTCGTTTTAATTCGTTTTAATTCGTTTTAATTCGTTTTAATTCGTTTTAATTTGTTTTAATTTGATTTGTAATTTGCTTTAGTTTGTTTATATATTTTTTTAATTGTTTTAATTCGCTATAATTCGGTTTTATTTGTTTTCATTTACTTTTATTCGTTTTAATTAGTTCTTATTCGTTTTAATTAGTTTTTATTCGTTTTAATTAGTTTTTATTACTTTTAATTCGTTTTTATTCGTTTTAATTAGTTTTTATTACTTTTAATTCGTTTTTATTAGTTTTAATTCGTCTTTATTCGTTTTTAGTTGTTTTTATCCGATTTTGTTCGTTTTTATCCGTTTTTATTTGTTTCTATTCGTTTTTATTCATTTTATTAGTTTTTATTCATTTTTATTCGTTTTTATTTTTTATCCGTTTTTATTCGTTTTTATTCATTTTTATTCGTTTTTATTCGTTTTTATTCGTTTTTATTCGTTTTTATTCGTTTTTATTCGTTTTTATTCGTTTTTATTCGTTTTTACTCGGTTTTATTTGGTTTTAATTTGTTTTTAAATGTTTTTTTAATGTCTGTTTTAATTTTTTTTTGTTTTAATTTTTTTATTTCTTTTTATTCGTTTTAATTAGCTTCAATTAATTTTTATTCGTTTTTATTCGTTTTAATTAATTTTTATTCATTTTTTTTTTTCGTTTTTATTTATTTTTATTCGTTTTACTTCGTTTTTATTGTTTTCAAGTCGGGACTAGGCTGTCGCGGTGTCGTTTTTATCAGTTCACTCCTCACATATTTAATATCAGGAGAGCCATTATAAGTTTCACGTCAAAATTTAGTTCACCTTATAAAGTCGTATATTGAAAATTAAAAAAGTTAAATTGTTACATCTTTTTTAATAAAAATAAAAAAATATTTATTCTGAAAAGAAATTTTATATTTTTATGAGTAAAGAAAAATGAAAATTCATTACTTTTCAGCTCGCTATGATTTTTTAAAGTTATACATATCTTCTCTTAACTTCTAACCATTCTAATTCTGTTAGTTTTAATATTAGCAAAAAAAATTCAGAATATTTTTATGTAAAATTCCAAGCTCTACAATTTTTATTAAGAACTTTTTTTTTGCCTCCTCGTAGTTTCAAAAACACATTTTTTTCAGTTAACGTTTTCAAAATTTTGATTTAAAGGTCTTTTGATCTATAATGTGAGTAGTAACTCTGATTAATATGACATTAAAAAAGTACTTACGGCAGAGTAGACTTCAACTTGCTAGCCACAGCCTTAGCTACATCACTTAAAACAGGCTGTCCTCCACCTTCTAAAGCATAGTGATAACCTAAAAACGGTTTTGAGCCGGCTGCTATTACTAAAGTGTTATTTGGAGGCATAGCTCTGTACTTTGTATAAAAACCACCGCAAGTAGAAGCTATCAATAAATGATCAAAGGTGTTTGCAACATTTAATCCAACAACAGCACTGTCATTTATAAGAGACTGTTCCTGAAAACCCCATTTTTTTGGCATTAAAGATGCAAGATCTTGATTAGTTGGTGGAGTATCATTATGGCAATTTTTTAAAATGGAAATCAGTTGTTGTCCATTAATTATACAAACAACACTTTGGTATTGTATATAGATCTCTTCTGGACGGGGAATGCTGTGCTTAGCACTTTTTTGACATTTAGATGTAATTGTAACAATGTTTTCGGCATTAAATTGTTCTTCAAATAACATATCACAATTTTCTGTATAACACCTCACATACCTACAAAAGACCAGAGTGTCATAATTTGAATTATATTTTTTCAAATAAAAATTTAGTATTATCCAATAAAATTGTTTACAACTCAGAACCTTCAATTGATTACATATGTAGATTATTGTGCCAACTGACACTATTAACAGTCCAGAGTTGAGTAAGTTCCCATCCTGATAAAACTGGCTCAGAACCAGCTTAACCTTTCCTTCAACCCCCATACTTTAACATCGGCTGCATGGTCTACATGTCAATAGCAATTGATTAGCACCCCATACCTTTGAGTGAGCAATGAAGGTTGGAGTGTTATCATTTAATAAGAGCCAGTTGAGAACCTTCACGGTTGTTAATGTGTGCTGCTGTTTGTCCACTGCACAGTGAGTGGTCCCTACTATTAACCCTATAACTATTATAACCATTTATAGTAATAATGTTTAGTCATTAGTAATGACCACCTTGATATTTATTTCTAATTTAAAAAAAATATATGATGTTGAAAACAAAATACATTGGGAATTAATATCTACTTACCTCTAGAAATTGCATATTCAAAAATCTCCTTAATAAATCCAATTTTTGTCCTGTCTTAGCCAAAACAACAAATAATGCTTGCATATACTGCACATGTTAACTATGTATTTTACTGATTTACAATGGCCTTAGATAATTAATTGCAAACCTGTCCAATCATATACATACTCATTTACACCGTTCTAACCACCACTTAGTTTACATTGTTGACAAACACTTATTTTTAGCTTTCAAAGCAACAACTGACCATAGTAGGGTAGTAGACATAACCCTATTCTCATCATATCATACTCTGATACTTAGGAGTACTTTGTAAAGCTACTTATTGTGAAGTATTTTAACGCAGTACTCTGCCCAGCTCTGCATATGACTTAGGAACCTATATATTATATTAATGCAAACTATTTGTTTCGATAATCTTTGGACACATTAAAACATTTCAGGATTAAAATATAACAACAAACACTCTCTAGGGAAACATAAGTACTCACCCAGAATCAAAACCTATCACGATACAAGTCCAATCAGCACTTAAATGCGAACTTCCATCTTGTCCAGGTATTGTTAGGCATAAAATAGCTTTAACTTTATCATAATCATGAATTAATCCTTTATAACTTATTTGAAACAAATTTGTGGACGATTGAGGATCCCATTTAGGAGTAAGGACCACAATCGTCCGTTCGTTTGCAATAACAATTAAATCTCCTACAGAGGATGCTGAAACTTTGCATGAATGTAACCAGCTGTCAGTACCTAAAAAGTGAAATAAGTAAACTTGAAGTAAAAGTACCATGATCTTACACCATTTTGACTGTCTAAGGGAAAGAGTATTTTTCTTATTTTATCTATTTCGTTGATGCTTGCGATAACAGAAATTTCACAGGACATTTCGTTTGTTATTATTTTTATTTTCTTCAAATCAGCTGTTTGTTTACGTCGAATGTCTTAGGAAATGTCAACTAGTTGTCAATGTCAACTGTCATTTCGTCTTCTCTTTATTTTCTTTTTGAAGTCTCTTATATTACGTCTTTACGGTCATACTTGGTATACTAAAGACGTCACGGAATGAAAAAATAAAATGACAGAAAATATTCTACGTGAAGGGTAAAGGGGAAAAACAAAATCTTCATTTTACAGAAACTTAAGTAATCAATTTGTTATGTTGGTGATACCGAGTTCCAAACCCATGCTAAATTGTAAGCGAATAAGGGTCGATTCCACCGTTGTGTTAAACGGAGATTAAAATGACATTGTTAATGTAAAAATGTCATTTTAAACTTCGTTTAACACAACGGTGGAATCGGTCCTGAAATAAACGAGGTCCGAATAATAAGGCATTTAAAAATAATCATAATGGTTAAAAACAGACGTTGTCCGCACACTACTGGAAACAACCGACGTTATCCAGGCTAAATACAACGATTTGCTAGTACTAAAACGATTTTTTCACTTAAATACTAACACAAGCTTCCAATAATAGTTGTTACATTGGTTTCATAAATGTAATTTAGAAAATATTTAACAAATTAAATATATTAAATAAATAAACTAAATAAATTGCTTTGCTTATATTTTTAAAATCAAACCCAAGATATGTCTGTGGTATTAACAACACTGTTGAAGGTAACTCTATCATCTATACAGTCAGCATCATAAGTCTTACCCCCCTATCTAACTCGTTACTGGAGTCTTATCAGGAAAATCGCCGAGACACGTCGATTTTTGATTTCTACAATGTACACTTTTGTATGAACAGTTTACTCTTAATTTCATCCCTTACTGGAGCGGAACGACCCTTTCGAAAAATTTAAATGGCATGGGGTGGTGAGTGATAGCTCATTTGAAAGGGGGTTTTATTCTCTATTTAACCGTGCAAAAAAATTTGAAATTTGCTTCATTAATTCTCGACTAATTATTGTTTCAGAATAACGTGAAGTAAGACTTTTTGCCATTAGATAAGGTCACTGTTAGTTAAGTTGCTTTCCTATTTGTGATGTTCTGTTATTTTTAAACATTAATAAATCAACACGTAATGAAGCAAATTTCAAATTTTTTTGCACAGTTAAATAGAGAATAAAACCCCCTTTCAAATGAGCTATCACTCACCACCCCATGCCATTTAAATTTTTCGAAAGGGTTGCTCCCCTCCAGTAAGGGATGAAATTAAGGGTAAACTATTCATACAAAAATGTACATTGTAGAAATTAAAAATCGACGTATCTCGGTGATTTTTCTAACAAAACTCTAGTGACGAGTTAGTTAGGGGGGGGGGTAAGACTTATGATGCTCACTGTATATTGCAAGTGATATATACTGGAGGCTGTTTTATACATATAAATGTGGAAGCTACTTCTCATTTTTAATCAGGCGTTTATTTGTGTATATTAAACCTTGTAAAAAAATACTCCTCTTGCTGTGCCTTTATTAACAATATGGTATTTATTATTTAACCATAGAATATACGCAAAAAAGAGTGTAGATATTTTCGAAACGGTGGTTTGGAAATCTATTAAATGTGTGGAGGCCACAAAGATAGCTGTGCTAGTCTTATATGTATTTTATCTTGTATTTGTTAAATAAAAAAATGAACCATAACGGCTTGATTCTTATTTGGAGAAAAAATATTATTAATTAATAGAGATGTTTTATTTTCAAGTATCTTTTTTCTTCATTTCCACATTAAACGACCTGGGGAAAATTTGGGGAATTTTTAAGAAATTATTGAGTTAAATAAATTTTTTGTAGGATCTGGCAAAACTGTCGAGACGAGCATAGCCCGCGATGCGACTTTGCCACGATTGCCTAATGCGTTCATGCTCTCCTTATCAGATAATAACTAAGAATTGGAACGAAATACGCATTTATTTATAAATGTAATTAGGTAAAGATTAATTCGGCATTAATGTAATTTTTACTATATTTACTTCAAAATTAAATATTTAAATAATAAAACGTCTAACTACTTTTTAAGAAATTTAAAATCCTTAAAAACTTTGCCAGTTTTTCTCGGATAGGTATTCCGGTATACTTAATCAAGAGTGGGCGATCGACCTAAAGTCTACAATCGAGAAAAGTTATATTAGTATTAATGTAGAACTAGCGAGCGAGAGTATAGTGTATAGTATGGTTAAGATTGATGCGTTCTACATAGCAAACATACCGATGTTGTTATGGATCGAAAGTTAAAGTGTTTGCTGAGATAAACGATTGACAAATATTTTATAATAACGATGTTTTATCAGTTTGAAATACTATACGCTATAACGTGAGTGTTGGTGTTGTGCAGACTCTTTCAATATAGAAGAAAAAAAAAACGTTTATTAAAAGTGGTGAGTTTTTAATATTAAATCGGTTATTTTGTAAAATATTTAAAAAAATATTTTTATCTAGCCAAAAATTTTTAAAACTTGTGATATAATATTTTATTTATGGAAATAGGTACAATATTAGTATGTACTTATACAAAATAGGTATATTTTGTATAAGTTTTAATATTTTTAAATATTTTTTATTCAAAAAAAAATTTAACTTATTTCTTATTATAAGTGATTATATGATAATAAATAAAATAAATTAAATGCTGGCACAGAACTGGCCGAAATCCAAGCTATCGAACACCCCGTTATTTTCACTTATAAATTATTTCCGGATATTTTTACGAACTCGCGAATATTTTGAAAATTATCCCGAGTCGTAGACGTAAAAATTTCCTGATAATTATTTAGGCACTAGCCAGAAATTTTAAAACATGAATTAAAATGCAAAATTGGCCATGCCGGTTATGCGTGTTTGTTATAATTTGAATTCTATAGTAGGTACACGCGAAAATTATCAAATAATTATCAACTTTAGTTTCCTAAAATAGAAGCGTCTCTCAAATATCAAAAAAAAATCCAGCGTAATTTCGTAAAAGGTATTCAAGAGAAAAATGTCTAGATTTTTTCTGGTTGTCATGGAAACGTTTTAAAATAACAGCATTTGATCTGCTATAAAATAGAAGTGTAACATTTTCTTTGCAACTCTTTAGTTATATTCCCAACTTCCTCGAACAAGAAATTGAAAATATTATTAATAAACTAAAATACTGGTATTGACAATATCAAAGCCAAAATATTTAAAGATTAAATTTATTTTGACACCAATAAATTATTTAATAAACTTGACTTTTGATACTGGTATGTAGCCTAATATATTTAAACAGATAATTGTTGTCCCCTTACATAAAAAATAAGATGACACTACAGTGGTAACAAATTATTACTTGTCCAAGATTTTAAAAAGCTTTTAAAAACAGATTAGTAAATTCTGTATCAAATTAACGTAACACCACAAAGTTAGGTGTAGGTACTGTGAATAAGTTACGTTTTCTCAGAGTATCTCTGTAGTGGAACTTACCTTATGTTACTTTTCTGTATATTTATCTCTTCTGTGATAACAGAGAAAAAAGTGTATTCATAATATATTCTAAATTAACCTGTAAAAGTAAGAAATTACAAGCGATCGTCGGTGTCTCCCTCCTGGACTGTTGTGTCGATTTTTCCCATTATTTCCCAACGAAAGGCAAACTTGTTAGCCGATGATGGCTGATGATAACAGTTAAAAGTCTTCTGACTTTTACCATACTTTTACCCAATACAATACAGTTACTTACCCTTTATAAGGCCATCATCAACTAACCTAATGCTGGGCCACTATCGAAAGGCCAAAAGTAGGCTTTTATCTTTTAATCGTCACATTCATTTTTCCTTCATATATAGCACAAGGCCAGCAATATCCCGGCAATTCATTGTTTGTTGGGTTATATTTATAGTTTTTCTTTATTTATTTGCAATTTTTATTATTATTAATTTGTAATTTGTATTTTTTCTTAAGTAAATATTATTATTGTAATTAAAAAAAGCGAAACTTACTCAAGTAGGAAAGAAATTTAGTTATAATAATTATTTCTGAGTATTTTTGAATATTATAAATCCTAAAATAAAAACCTATATTATTAATATTTTTTGATTAGAGATATTTCTTTAATATTTGTCTTGTTTTGGACATTTTCGGACATGGTTTATCAACATATTTACAGTTCAAAGTATATCTAATCTTAATTTCATGTTGTTATCCTAAATTACATTGTAAATTCGGAATAAATAATTATAATGAGAAAAATAAAACTTTCAAATCAATCTTACATAAATTATTTAATAGCGGCGACCGATTTCGGCTACAATAGTTGTTTGTGCAACAAGAGTGGATATGGATAATCCACTCGAGTTGTACAGTATATTTTTTCTACGACCCACTAACGAAAACATACAAATTTAAAAACACAAATAGAATTAATAATATCTCAAGTAAGGAAATAAGTAGCATATCGCATGCCTCAAGATACTGTCTTAGGTCCTATCTTGTTTAATTTTATTTTAAATAATTTGTCGTTTAATTACAAATGGAAATATTGTAAGTTTTTCAGGCGACATAGTTATTTTGTAAAATCCAGATAACTGGAATTGATTAAAATTATTAATAGAAACAGATCTTATAAAAATTTTCGAATTAATTAATTAATTATAAAAACTTACAAACCTTTGATAAAACTTATGTTGTTCCATTATAATGTAACAAAGAGATGGCCTCTTCCTACAGAAACAATAAAAAGTAAGTTCAGTAGTTTCACATAAGTATTCCAAATGATATCAAATACCTTAGAGAACAAATTGACTCTCATCATAACTGGACTAAGCATACAAATAATGCGTTGAATGTACATTTCAAAAAAAATCTATTTTGCACTCATAGAATCATTATTACGTTATAGAATCCTTTCTTGGAAAGGTGTTTTACCTGCTTATGTAAAATTGTCCTGCAAAAAATATCACTAATAATATGTAATAAAATGATCAGAAATTCTCTTCGATATTAGGAAGTTTTATATGTACTCCAACAAAAAACATCTAAGAAAGAAATACACAGCGGTGTTTGACCTAAATATAAGTATAGGATATTTCATTTTTTTTGACGCATATCTACAAAACATATTTGTTTTTCAAACCTTAATAATTTGTAAAATGTAGATTAATAAAGACATTGTCATAATAAAGATGTAAAAAATCAATATTTTTTTAAATACATTATTGCTTTAGATAATATGCAAATGAGAATTTATTATTTTCTTTTCTACGCCCCTTTATGACAGTACGTCACTGGTAGACCGGAAACACTTGTCGCCATATTCGTCTAGTTCACTGTCAAAATTAGATACCATCGCGATTCCAAGGTCGTTTAGGATTTCTCCTTCCTGACTATATATATTCTAAGGGAAAAACTGATGAAACCAATTTTTTTTTGAAACCCATCCAAAAAAAAAATCGTTTTCAGGACGATTTAAAACACGCCAGTTCAAGAACCTAATAAAAAATAAATTTGAGATAAAACTGGAAATCTAGACTACATAAATTCTAAACTTTATAGCAAAGTTGTTGAGTGGTAGGTCAAATTTATTTTGTAAAAACACTATTAATAAAAAAAATTGAAGTAAAATCAGCCTGATCAAAAATAAAATGTAGAAATTACAGAAAACAATTTTCTTTTCTTTAACTTGATCAAGTATCCGTAGACAGGGCCGCCGAGAGCCAGGCCGGGCCCCAGGACAATTCTCTAGATCGGGCCTCGTGACAAAAAGCTTTTCAAACTTTTCCTCTCCTACTTGAATTGCATTTTCTAAAAAAAACAGCTCCCCAACCTAAAACTTCCCCCTCTCGTCTTGTGTCGAATTTCTCATACAAAACAAAAAAAAACCAGTTGACGGGTCCCCCTTATACCGCTGCCGGGCCCCCATTTCAGTCCGGGCCCCGGAAATTAGTCCCGGCTACCTCCCCTCTAGTCGGCCCTGTCCGTAGATATAAATGAAATGCTCTTGAAATAAAAGTGTGAGATGGGAATCAATGAGTTTTAGCTTCAGAATTGCTGTGTAGTTGAAACTAGTTGCCAATTTTATGTTATAATGTTACTTTATATGGCTATCGAACTTCTTCTAATACGCATTGCACAAGTGCGTGTCAAAACTACAGAGAATTAGCGGTAGACTGGACAGGAGACGAATAATATACGAATTGTTATTTCCTGTTTACTTGGATACATAAATCTACAACGAATTCCGTAATTATAAAGTCTTTAAAATTAATAGTTCATAATTTTGAATGAAAGTAATATTTACATTTTTATAATGAGCATGCATTTAATCTAGCGTTTAATATTTTACTATAATTTGCGACAATTCGCAATTCGTTTAAAATGAATTACTAACTTTAATTTTAATGTTAACTATCCTTAACATTCAAAAAAGAAAGAGGTTCTCAATTCGTCGGGATATTTTTTTTATGTACGAGGATGTATCAGAAAATAACGAGACTGGTGCTATAGTATAACAACGAAACATTTATTTAAAAAAATTCAACAACTATCCTTCGAAGTACTCTCCATTCTGTTGAATACACTTATCCCATCGCTTTATCCACTTATCATAAACTTCTGAGAAACCATTTTTTGATAGTCTGTTTAGTATACCCATCACAGCGTTGTTGAGCTCTAAATCCGACTCAAATCTTCTACATCTCAATTCGTTTTTGACTTCAGGAAACAATTGGAAGTCACATGGAGCAAGGTCAGGAGAGTAGGGGGGATGAACCATAATTTCAACCCCTAATTCTTCAATTGTTCGTTGACAAATCATTGATCTATGAGCCGGGGCATTGTCGTGATGCAGCGTCCAGCCAAAGTCCTGATAAAGCGGCATTTTTTTCTTTAATTTTGCCTTTAAGGGTCCTCGAAGTACATTAGAATAGTACTCCCCTGTTACTGTATGTCCTCTAGGTACAATGTGATCGTAAATAACGCCAAATTTATCAAAAAAAATCAGGTGCATCACTTTACCAGCGCTTTTAGCAGTTTTGGCCTTCTGCGGTCTTGGGCTGCCTTTATGCTTCCATTGCATACTTTGAGACTTCAATTCAGGATCGTAATGATAAAACCAACTTTCGTCATATGTAACCACATTTTTTAAAAACTGTGGGTTACGTTGCAATTGCCTTTTCCACTGCTGACAAATTGTCACTCGATTCGCTTTTTGTTCATCGGTCATCACTTTTGGAATCCATCTTGCCGCGATCTTCCGGTACTCTAAATCTTCATGAATAATTTTTTGAGTGGTACCGTAAGACAAATTAACATTGTCAGAAATTCGTTTTATGCCAATCCGGCGATCATTTTGTATCAAGTCGTTAATTTCTGCAATTTTTGTGTCATTTCTCGCAGTTTGTGGTCGACCGGGACGAGGTTC